GACTCATAGTGACCCTGCACAAGGTTTTTGAGGCTGTAAATCTATACGGGAGCAGAAAGCCTCATCTTTCTCCTGTGGAACAGCTGGTAGTTTCGAACTGCTAACCTTACGGTTTGCAGCCCGATTTGTAACCACTACGCTATCAGAGCTCCTTACTACACTACTAGGAGGTTGTATTTTGTGTTGTTAAGTGCTTTTGAGTCAGCTATGACTTGCAGCAACCCTGATTAGGGTTTCCAAGGAGCAGATGGTGGGCTTGAATGTTAACCTTGTGGTTAGTAGTCTAGTGCTTATACTACAGCGGTACACCAGGACTCCATTCTAGTTTTAGTACACTTGAATTTGTGGCTTGAGATTCACATCTAGTATAGTAGTTAAAAGATACTTTATATTGTATGTATATGTATAGCTATTTAAAAAAAAAGATATAACCTGAATATTTTTATTAAATCAATTATGAAAAATCTGTAATAAAAAACTCCTTTCCAACTATTTTAAAGGTTGTTTATGAGATATCTTAATGAGATAAAAGATGTTCAAAGTATTCTGTACTATACTAGTTTTAAGTATTACAGGAAGTATGTTCTAATTTTGAAAGAAAAATATACCTAAACATCAAGAATATATTGGTAGAATAAATACTATATGGTTGATTTTAATTTCCCTTTTTAATTTAAAAAATAATTCTAAATCCTCTACAATTAACAGGAATTCCTTTTCTATGAAGAGCAATACAATAAAATGTGATTTGTTTATACTTTGCCCAGAATATAGTAGAAAAATGTTCTTATGGGAAAAGGCTGGGAGAGAAGACCCCTCACTGCTATAGACTGGAATAGTCATTTCTTCACCTGTCAAAAATGTTGCTAAACACAAAAACAGAAGCTGGAGAAATACCAAAAAATAAAAATTTGAAATTAAAATTTAGAAAAACTAAATAGGCTTAATTTGTGATAGAAAAAGGTAATAATCTTAAACTTTCTAGGTGCCTAGTGTCCCAAACTGAAAACTAATGAGGAAAGGAAGCTGTCTAGAACTGTGAAATATAAAAAGGCAATGGAAATTCTGGTTTATGAACCTGAAACATTTTCAAAATAAGACAGTGGGTTGTGTTACTTAAAAAACTCCAACATGTAGGTTATAGAAAGTCAGAATGGATGAACATTTATTGGACTAGGAAGATATGTGGAGTATCTTCTGGTAAAAATAAGGATAAAGAATTCTGATTTGATAAAAAAAAAATTACATAAAAATATTTTCACTGGTCTACCTTTGGGGAAAAAGTAGTTAAGTAGAAGCAAAATGTATTCTAAGATGCCAAAAACTACAAATAAGGTAGCAAACTGTGGTATAGGGAATTATTAACATGTCTCTTCTAATCTTGGTGGTGGTCATGTGCTGCTGAGTTGGTTCCAACTCAAATCTTCATCCTCATCTTTCTTTCTAGGAGAACTTGGTAGATTAGAACTGCTGATCTACGGTTAGTAGCCCAGTCTGTAATTCACTACACTACCACAGCTCCTCTTCTAGCCTTAGCCTTTGAATTCCCGTCAAATGACTCTTCGGTGAAGATACTGATGAAGGTGGGAGAAGATACTGATAGGATGACAGAATACAGTGGTGCATGCAGAGTTTACTGTAACTGTAAAAACTTGAAACCCTAGCATGGGGCTAAGGGATAAAATGAGCCAACTCAAAAGTAAGACTGGGGGATCTTACTACCATCAGAGAAGAGCCAGGAGTGGAGCACATCCTTCAGATCCTGAAATCCTTGGGCACTGACCCACGGACAGAAATCTGTGACACTGGGGAAGTCGCAGAGATGCAGCAGCAGCAGCAGAACCAAGAACCAGAGAGAGTGGTGGGCTTAGCAGCCCACAGAGCAAGTACAGCTGTGTGACTTTGGGCAGGAGGCTTGCTTGCAGAGTAGAGTGCCTCCAGGTACTTATGTGGGGGAGCTAGGTTTGGTGACCCACGGAGCTAGAACTGAGTGCCTTCAGGCTGAGGTTTATGGTGGAGTGTTGTGTTCTGTGGGCATCTACCAGCAGCCCTAAAAGACCTTTGTGCCATTGACCAGATACAGAGGCCTGCTTGTGGGTACAGATGAGGAGAGGCTGTCCTAACTGGAACAACTGTGCCCTGAGAATTTCTGACTCTGATTTGGGATCTGTTAATTTCCCTAATAACCCCCAGAGTTGTGAGTATGGTGTCTGAGTTCTGTGTGGTCCCTGCAATGAATTATATCGAACCCCAGCTGAGTGGAGTGCTGTGGGAGGGGTGGTTGGTGTCACCTTTTTGCACACATTTTATTTGAACTGTGTCACATATTAGAAGCATTTGAATTTTTCCTGTGCTTTTCTCTGTTTCGTAACAAACACGATAATCAAAAGAGACCATTTTAAATTATGCATCATTACTTAGCACTTAAAAATATCCTAGTGTCTCTTGACAATTCCATGTAACATTAATGAAAATTGTCCTGGGGGGGGGGAGTAAATTCCATTGCATCTATATCCTGCATACTATAACTTCACATTTCAAATTCCACGGAGATACCCTGTATTATATTTGCTCTGATCAAACTGCTTTAGTTTCAGCTCTTCCTTTGAAAATGAAAATAAACCTGGGCATCACCTTGGTGTAAAACATTAACTCCCCATATTCCCATGGTGCTCTATTCCATCTCTTACAGGTGTACTCACCCTTGGGAGTGTCACTGAGTTTATTTCTCTGAAGAATGAGCACCTTTAGCAACAAAAGGCCATTTCTGCTCTTGCGGCGCTTCACCCATGAGGGTTTAAGGCTTGGCAGGTCCAGTGAAATGAAGTGGATGGCATTATTGCTGGGATTTAGTATTTCCAAACCACCTAAGTATGCAAGAGTGCTTACAGTTATTTTTGGTAGGCGATTGTTACTGAGCTCCAGATAATTTATTTTCCATTCTTCTTTGTTCATGGATGACTGAGAGAGACTACTGAAGCAATTGAAACTTACATCCATGAGGACTGATGTCTGTGATGTGTCTACATGCTTTCTAGTGAAGGAACGGTTTATCAGAAGATAGTCATTCCAGTGGCATACAGAACTGAATGAAATACCGCTTTTCTTTGATGTGTTTGCCATGGTTCCAGCAACATAAAGACCTATCACCATGGTAATGACTCTGAAAGAGCAGTTTTCCATAATGCCTAGAAAAAAAAGAAAACAAATGAGCTTATTCAAAATAACTTATATAAAAACCAACAGCCAGGAAGAAGCAGATCATTTTCAATTTAAGATGCTAGAAACTTATCTAGCCTCAATTGCCAATTTAAGTGGGTTATTTGGCATTTTGGGAAATCACTGCATGAAAATGCAGCCACCAAGATGGCATACAGTTATATATATGGCACATCTTCAAGAAAGGGCTCCCATAACTTTTCAGGAAATACGTATTTACTTAGGTTTCCCTTCTGTTTTTCCAATATTGCGCACCCTGCCATCGACTTTGGAATGAAACATTACCAAGATTAAAGAATTTTCTGCTTCCTTGCTGATCATTAGTACCAGCCAAAGTCTACTGTAATTATCTACAACACTGTAATCAGCTTTGTGGTTTATTGCAGGAATGAGATAACATTGTTATACTGAACTGTGAATTTCCCCTTTCCATATGAGTATAAAGTTCAACTCAAGAGAGATTCTTGCTTCTTCTTCTTCTTTTTTTTTAACTACCATAAGAATGACAAGCATTGTTTTGTGGCTTTTGTTACTTTTCAAATAATTTTCATTTGAAAATCATTTTACTGGAAGCAAAGAGCCCTTAAAATATTTATTGATGAAAATCAAAGACTACAACTTTTAGTATGCATTGCACCTCAGTCTAAAGAAAAAAATTCTCACAATTGGACAAATAAATGTCGTGATAAAAGGAGTAAAGATTAAAGTTGTCAAAGGCTTCATTTTGCTTGGATGAAGCAAATCAACACAATCAGCACTCTTGAAGCAACAGTCCAGAAACCAAAAGACATATTGTATTAGGCAAATCTGCTGCAAAAGACCTTCTTAAGGTGTTAGATAACAAAGATGTTACTGTGAGCACTAAGGTATGTGTGAACCATGGTATTTTCATTCGACTCATATGCATGTGAATGTTGGACAATAAATAAGGAAGACAGTAGAAGAATCAACGCATTTGAATGGTAGTGTTGGCAAAGAATATTGAAAGTACCAGAAGAACAAATAAACAAGTCTGCTTTGGAAGAGGTAAGTACAATCACAGAATGCTCCTTAGAAGCCAGGATGGCAGAACTTTGCCTTTTACCCTTTGAGCAAGCTGTCAAGAGACATCAGCTCCTGGAGAAGGACATCATGCTTAGTAAAGTGGAGGGTCAGTGAAAAGGAGGAAGACCTTTAAAAGATGGATAAATACAGCGGCAGTAACAGTGGCCTTAAACTTAACAATTGTGAGGCTGGCGAAGGATCGAGCACGGTTTTGTCCTGTTGGAACTGACTCAAGGGTACCACCACTCCCACCCCCACCACCAATACAACATAAATAAATAGATTATAAAGAGACTCATCTGCATCCGAGTCAGAGAGATGTAATAAGATTCAGAAACATCAAGAATCTTGTCCACAATAAAATTCTTAAGAAGCAATTGAAAGTTTTAAAGTAAGTGCCCTTAAATGAAAATTACAGAATGCATATTCAAAAAACTATTTGGAAGGTGATATGTTTTTATTAAACTAAACTTCATTTTAAAAGCCGAGTGTACACAAATATTCTCATTATTCGGTATGGAATGTTTGTTTACAGCAAATCATTCCTTCTTTTCAGTTCTAGTGGCAGGCTTCCTAGTTCTCATTACAGCCTGAAATACTGGAATGGTTTAGCTGATCTTGCTGCCTCTCCCTCTTCACTTTGCGTCTTAATCCATTCTGTTGTTAAATGCTGTTGAGTCAGTTCCAACTCTTAGTGATCTGGTATAGAGTTTCTGAGGAGTGGCTGGTTGAGTTTGAAACCTTGTGGTTCAAAGTCCAGTGCTGATTCTACAGCACCACATCAGGAGTCCTACTCCATTCTAGATGATCCCAAAGGATCATTTTCCCAAAACATGGTTTTCCTCATTCGAAAACCACAAAGGAGTCCTTATCACCTGTAGTCAAAATTCCTTAAATTGACATGCAAGACTTTGCATTATCTGGCTAACCTTATTTTTTTGGATATGCATGTGTGGAGCAACTATTTGTGTAAAGAAACTATACATGTTTCTCTTGCTAGATGAATGTCAAGCTTAAATGAATGTCTCTCTCCAATCCAAATCCTATATATCTTTCATGGTCCATCTCAAATCCTGTGACCGCAAGATCTTTTTACCTGTTTTACTGTCTGTTTTGTCTGTGGGAATCTATTACTATTGATTGAATCAATGGGTGCTTGTTAGTAGCATTATTTAACAAAAAATTAATACTGTTCAGCATTGCTGCTTGCTTTGTGTCTGTTTTGAAATCCCAGTAAGACTATAAGCTCTTCCATGCTTTATATTTTTAATGGTCTGCAACCTGTCAGTGGGCTTTGCTTGTCTGAATGAATACATGGGTGAATCAAGTGTACCAGGTAACTTTTTAACTTTTTGTCTCTTACAAGGTCAATTCTCCCATAATTTGAAAGGCATCTAAATTCAGGTATGGATATGAACTGCAAAGGTGCCCTACAACATGGTTTATTTTATAGTGTACCTCTCATGTAATACTAGAAATTGAATTCATCTGCATAGTCAGAAAGGTATATTTTCCATATTAAAAGTTGTAATCATTATATATACCATTGTACACCAAGCTAATATACCATTGTACACCAAGCTAATATAACATCAACAACAAAGAATGCAGTCCCATTCATAGGCACATTACATTCCAGTATTGAAGAGGAAGATAAAGTTGAAAACTGTTTATTAAGGGGCCACAAATGAAAAATCTTCACTGATCATGTTTTTTAACTTGAGGGGATTTATATGTTAGCTAATAGATTTGAGTCCACTACAAAGAATCCTATGTCTTAAAGTAAAAGTTATTAATATGTAAAAAAAAAATGATAGATACAAACATATATAACAACTAAAAACCCATTCCCATTGAGTTGATTCTGACTTACAGAGACCCTGTATAGGATTTCCGAGGCCGTAATTCTTTACAGGAGCAGAAAGTCTCGTCTTTCTCCCATGGAGTGGCTGGTGGGTTTGACCTGCCAACCTTGTAGTTAGCAGTCTAGTGCTAATCCTACAGCATCATTGGGTCTCCTTACAAAATATATGAGATAAGAAATCACTGACAAACTCCAGAAAAAATCCTTTAGGAAACTGGAACTAATTAGGTAAAATGTAAATCCTTGGTAGCCTCAAGAGTTCCGTAGGGGTTGCACTGCTAACGGCAAGGCCAGCAGCTTGGATCGCCTAGCTGCTTCTCAGGAGAAAGATGAGGCTTTCTGCTTCTGTAAAGATTGACACTCTCAGAAACCCCATACAGGCTTGTTATGAGTCAGTATTGACTCCACAGCACAGGTTGAAATAGGAGAAAGTAATTATAAATATTGGGTGTTTGTATATCAGAGACTGAGTTGGGAAAGCCAATAAACAAAAGCAAACTAGAAAGTACGAAGGCAATGAAAAGTTCATTCTTAGGGAAAAGAAAAGAAAAAATGGAGTTGACAAAACAATTAGAAGAAAAGCAAAAGACAGGATTTTTGGTTATGAAACTCACCAGCTGCTCCTCCCAAATCCTATATAGGGTCCCTGTGAGTCAGAACTGACTCAGCACTTAACAACAAAGACGTAGAAAAAACACATAACATTGTTTCAATGACATACCTTAAGATCTTTAGGTAGTTTTCATAGGTCTGTATCTGGTTCCTTAGGTGGAGATTAGACCTGAGTGTGTGAGGCTCCACCCATCCTCCCCCACTGCCTGTCCTGTGGCAGACCTTCACCCTTTCACTGCCAGAAGCTGGTGTCCACAGTGACAATGTGTACCACCCTCGGACACTGGACAGCGGCCTTCTGCAATGGACGGGGGGTGGGGACTATCTCACCTAGGACTGTATAACTTTCCAACTTCTAGGGGTCTCAGAAAGTTTGTGGAAAACTTCCATTATCCCTTCATTCTATTTTCCCATGAATTTTCTGAAGCCCCCTCATATAAGCACCATTGATAGTCCCTTCTCAAATCATATTGGAATTCATTAGGTTTGTATGATCAAGCTGAAGCCTGTTAACCCATTAAAGAATGAACAGCATACAATTGACAGAATCTTTATTTTAATCAAAGGTCACTAACAGTTGTGACTGAAACTCAGGTTAGTGATCTGAAACGGACTTACAGGATTATTTTTGTACAGCACAGTTTATGATCTTCCCCCTCGACCGCAACACTTTTTTTTTTTTTAAAGAGTAGGAAAATGATCAGCTTTTCAGTGGGCATTCTCACCCTCTTTAAAACCAAACTTTAGGCAGAACTTTTACATCATCACAATCATCATTACGATTTTTTTGTCATCACAACCATTACACAGATTTTGCTTCTTAATAGTGCAAAGAGAATACAAATGCATCTCAACATTGAAGACCATAAACAAGCAATTCCCACACTGTGTGGCTGTGTTATTTCTCCTGGCTTCTCCTCAGGCTGTTTGCAAACCAGCATGCATTTCTTTCATTTGTCCCCCTTGTCACTGCAGCCCGTTTCTGAAATATTCTATCAACAGGCCCGTCTCTGCCCGTCCTGGGATCCTGTCTCCATCATCCACCTCCTTCAAGTTGGCTGCTTGTCCTGTCAGTGGTCACTGAAGGGGTCGACATCCAGCAGGAAGAGCCAAAGTTAGGGGTTCAGTTTACAGAAAAGTACCATCTTGTGGCAAGAAAGAGCAACTGAAGTGTTACTGTCAAAATCAGTCACAGGTAAAATGGACCATTTGCTCTTGTTCAATGTATTTTCGTGGACTTCATTTCAGTGAAAAGGCTAGGACAGTCCGTTAAGTGTTCTAAAATGCTGTCCTGGTTCCCTTAATCCTCAGGTTTATGAGAGCATCAGAATATCCTCACACGTCCAAAGTATTCAATGGAAATGTATCAAAAACCCAAGTATATGTCAAAGAGGAGTAAAAGTAGGTTACTTCATGAATTATATTCAATAAACAAGGAATACTTTCTAGTATAGTATTCTGTAGTTTTTCTAAGAAAAAAAAATTACAGGGCTTTAAGAAGAAATCTCAGTACAGACAAGTTATGAATGTATCAATTAAAACTATATTTACTGAATAGCTAAAGGAAAATTCCAATGGACTGGTTCTGAGTATCATTCAGATGCTGGATGATATTGCATATATTCTGGTGGGCTCTGAATATCCTTACAGGTTAGAAATACTTACAGGTTAGAAATCTCACCTTTTTTTCTTTTTTTCATTTAAAAGCTACACTCTTACTGTGAGGTGGGAAATCAATCCTATTTCAGTACAATTTAATGACTTTTCAAAAATCTTTAAGGTACTTGGTTTTTCTATCAAAGAGAACTGTAATATGGAATACCATTAGATTTTTACATTTTCTTATCTACAGAGTTCAAAGTGACCATAACAAAATATTGCAATATACCCATTCCTCGGTTACCAACACGGTTAGGTTCCAAAGACCAGGTTGTTATGTGAAAACTGGAGATATGCAAAAATGGAGGATGACCATATTAGTTCACAATGGAAGATAACATCCTTATGTAACTTCAAAGCTAGATCATTACATAATAGTCACATGACATCATTACATAACCACCAAACCACTGAGAATCACGGCCTAGCCAAGTTGACATACAACCTGAACCGTCACAGCCAGGGTTACTCTTGCCTTAAACCTCGGCATTCATTACTGCTGGATGTATATTGTTAATGCACAAAATAGTCAGTAGATTTTCTACTACAGTTGTAAATGTGAGATGTAAGCTAATGAGACTATTCATATGTGAGGAGTAGTAGGTGTACCTGAATGCCTTTCATAGCAGACTACTGGGTCCCTGTCTTGATGTGTGTGTATGTGTGTGTGTGTGTGTATTAATAATAAATACCAGTTCCTTTCAAATAAAATATGAAATACATTAAAAATCAACTGGGTTGTTGTTAAGTGCCATCAAATTAGTTTCTATTCATAGCGACGCTGTATAGGGTTTCTGAGGAGCAACTGGTGAATTTGAACCGTAGACTCTGAGGTCCAGTGCTTATCCTGCAGTGAAATGCCAGGTGGAGGGTTGTAAATAATTACAATGGGACGGGGATATTAGGAGCAAAGATCAATTTGTGTACTTGAAAATTACTTGTACAAGTATTATCTCCTACATTAACACCTTTCTTTCCCCAGTGCTTCCCTACTGTCATCCAGGAATGGCACATACTGAAAAGTCTCCTGTTTGTACGGGTAATGGACCAAGCACACCAGGCCTTTCCTGGCCAGCAGGACTTACCTGGGACCTACGGTCTCCCCACTTCCCAGTGTGGTACTCCAAGGGCTGAGGTTACCAATATCTTGGCATACCTATTACCTGTTCAGGTACTCTAATATGCCAAAATCCATCAGTTGGGAAATTGAGGTAACCCATAATGAGGCCAATTTGACCTCTCTGTAACATTTTGGAGTTGGCTGAAAAGAAGATTAAATCTGACAGCGTCTGATCATTCTGTGCCTTTTAACTTGAGTAAGCACACTTGTTTTGATTTTCTCCTATCTGCTAGTTTTAATTTGTTTTTGTTCATCTTTCTAGAGCTTGAAATAATTAAAAATTCAGTGCAGATAGTGAAAAGAACAAGCTATTTGAAAATCAGATACCCTAAATTTGAATCTCGTCTAGATTCCAATCCCAACTTTGCCAAGTAACTTCTTCGATCCTCAGTTTCCTAATGGATAAAGCTGAGACAATAATTCATAGAATGAGAGATACTAAACATGCACTGCCTAGGACAATGCCCAGGGTGTATAAGATGTTCAACCGAGTTACTATTATTTCAAAGTGAAAGCTGAGGTTGTGTTTTAATGTCTACCACATTATGAACACTTAATAGGACTTCAAGTAAACAATTGATTATAGAATATTTTCTTCCTAGTGCAAAACTAAGGAACCAATTTCTTACTATCTTACAAATGTGAACTCTGTCATGACTTTACTTGTGTGTAAGAGAATATGGCTCATATATGCACTGAGAATCTGTTTTTCCTCTTAGAAGTCCAAAGACAACATGTAACACTTACTGACAGTGTACCTTTTAAACACCTTAAGTGGAACTATTAGAGCTCCCAAGAGCTTACTTATAGTGCGTCTAAACAGTCGCTCAGCCCTTTATCCTTGAGACAAGGAACAGTAGAATTTAAAAACATCTCTTTAAATGATGAATTTTCTATATTTTGTACTCACTTCTCATAATTATTTTACCAAAAACCCACTACCATCAAGTCGATTCTGACTTATAGCGGCTCTAAAGGACAGAAAGGAACTGCCCCATAGGGTTTTCAAGGCTGAAATCTTTTAGGAAGCAGATTGCCACATCTTTCTCCTCAAGAGTGGCTGGTGGGTTCGAACTGCTGACCTACCACTGCAACTTAATAAAATGTATTCAAATTTAAGCTCTGAGGCTGTGTTAAATATGGAGATTACACAATGAATACAGTTGTGGTCAGCAGATAAAATAATTACAATGAATTATCACAACCTGAAAAAACAACAACAACAACAATGATTTGCATGCATCCTCAAAAAAAAAAAAAAAAAAGTTGAGTCATGATATGAACATATTCATGACCTCTGGGGTTCTTCTAATGAGTGTTTCCACACGGGTTGTCTGAGATTTGGCAGCCCATGTTCTGGCCTGTCACTTGTACTTTGAAGAGAGTTCCGTCAGCGCACATGCAGAGCTTGTAGCGTACCCAGTCGCTGTTACTGAACTGGTCTCCAGAGGAGGAGCTGGGCAGGCGAGTTGTGCTGACCATCACAGTTCCATTTAGAATGATGCTATTTTCCTATTAGGAGGATAATAATATGATTTATTTACCTCCAAAAGTAGGATAGAATAATGGTTAATAAACAAAAGTTGACAAGTTTGGGAAAGTTAAGGAGAAAATACAGCAGTAAGAAAGAGCAAAGACAAAACCAACTTTAAGATTCAAATAGTGAACCTCTTAGCTCATTTAGTTCATTATGTATGTCAACAAACTGGCCCCACACTTGATTTCTCAATGACTAAAATTCCATCAAACTCCTCAGTGCATAATAAAACTCCTAAGTGTATAATAACAGTGACTTCAATAAAGTCTCAGATATTTTCATTTGTTAACTCCTAACACATCGATATACAAAATTACTGATTAATAAGCTGGTGTGCGCTGTGGATCAGCACATGACTGCGAACCACAAGACCATCAGTTCAAACCTACCAGCTGCTCCTTGGAAACCCTATGCAGGGTTGCTGAGAGTTGGAAACAACTTGATGGCACTTAACAACAATAACAAAGCTGATGATCATAAGAAAAAAATATTTGCTTTTCTCCTTGAAATAATAAGTTAGAATTTTTCATGTTTTTGTTGCCCTACTATAAATGAAAAATTCAAACCATATCATTTTGAAGACCAGGCACCCATAGGAAACTTCCTGGAAGTGCTCTTCTTCAAGCCCGTAGCTCCAAGAACATTCTTGTAGTTCAGGTCCACAAATCTTTCTTTTTGGAGACTTCTGGTATAACACTGTAGGATAAGCACTTGACCGCTAATCACAAGGTAAGTAGCTCAAACCCACCAGTCACTCTCTGGAAACCCTATACAGGGTCGCTATGAGTCAGAACTGACTTGGCAAAGCTTAACAACAACAAATCTCTCTCTGGTCCAATCTGCGACCAGTCATGTTAATGGCACAGGGCCAATAGGCTTTCTTTTGGTTGGACATAGAGTCACCATGAATTGGGGACTGCCCTGACATCAGATACAAAAATGAAACCCCTCTCTCGCTCCTTTCCTCTCATTCTGCTTACGTTCATTCAACAAATAATCATCAAGTAGGAGAACCAATACATCTGACTTACGGTGCTAGTAAAGAATACTGCAAATACCATGGGCTGCCGGAAGAACAAACAAGTCTGTCTAGGCACAAGTGCAGCCAGAATGCGCTTCAGAAGCTAGGATGGTGAGACTTTATGTCTTGTACTTTGGACAAGTTATCAGGAGGGACCAGTCCCTGCAGAAGGACATCATACTTGGAAAAGTGGAGGGTCAGTAAAAAAGCGGGGGACCTCCAACGAGACGGACTGGAACAGTGGCAGCAACAATGGGCTCCAATATAACAATTGCACAGGACCAGGCAGTGTTTGCTCTGTTGTACATAGGGTTGCTGTTGTTATTAAGTGCCGTTCACTCATTTCCGACTCATAGCGACCCTGTATAGGGTTTCCAAGGAGCAGCTGGTGGGTTTGAACTGCTGATCCTGTATCATCATACCAGGAGCCCATAGGGTCGTTCTGAGTTGGAAATGACAGCACCTAACAAGGTGCTGGGGACAGAGCAGTAGATAAAACAGGCAAAATTCCATGTTGAGAAAGCTGACATTTAATGGGGTAGTGGGCAGAGAAGAAAGTAATGACTAAGACACATAGCACAGACAATGTGATAAACGCTATGAGGAAAAATCAAGCAGGGTCAGTGGTGAGTGTGTGCAGATGAGGGCTCTGGCTTATGTAGGGTGGCCAGGAAAGGCCTTCTGATTAGACAACACTCACAGCGACCTGGATGAAGTGGGTGTAAGTCATGTGACTGGGAAGACGCTCCAGGCAGATAAAACAGGAGAGATGAAGCACCCAAATGAAGACCTGCTTGGAACATTTGGAAGATGAGTGCAGCAGTGTCAGCAGCAGCAGGTTTAGGTGACGGGGACATTGGTAGGAGATGAGTCAGAGAAAGGACTTTGGAATTTATACCAAGCAAAATGGGAAGCCAGTTTGAGTAGACAAGTGCCATTATCTGGAGGCTGTGTGGAGAACTGAACAGGGGTGACAAATGAAAGCAGGGAGTCCAGGTGATAGGCTGTTCCAACTGGCCAGGCAGGAAATGACGGTGGTTGGTTTACACTGTGGAGGTGGAGGTGGTGGTGGAGGTGGAGGTGGTGAGAAGCAAGCAGACTGAATCATGTGAAGGGAGAGTTAGCAGGCTTTGCAGATGTACTGATGGCATTACTCTGATTGGAGACTTGTGATATCTATTGGCTAGCTGAGGGGAGATGGTTAGCAGGCAGTTGGGAATATAAACCTTATATGCAGAAGAGATGCCTGAGCAGGGCTTACTCTGGGAGCCATAACCTGATTGTTGTTCTTGTGCAGTGCCGTTGAGTCAGTTCAGACTCATAGCGACCCTATATACGGTTTCCAAGGAACAGCTGATGAACTTGAACTACCGACCTTGTGGTTCAAACTGGCCTTGCAGTCTGGCGCATTAACCAGCAGTGCCACACAAGGACTCCATAATCTGATAGATGGTATTTAAAACAATGAGAGAAAATTGGTTATAAGAAAATCAAAACAGCTAACTGATTCTGTAGTGGGTGTTGTTGTTAAGTGTTATCGAGTCAGTCCTGATTCACAGTAACCCTTTATAGGGTTTGAAACTCTGACCTTGCAGTTAGTTAGTGGTATACTGCTTATCCTACATTGCTACACCAGGACTCCTATGTAGCGGTTGTTGTTTTGTTGTTGTTAAGTGCTATTGAGTCAGTTCCAAATCATTGAAACCCTGTATAGGGTTTCTGAGAAGCAGCTGGTGAGTCTGAACCCATACCATACCAGGACTCCAATATGTATCTGGAGCATAAATCTAGGGAGACAAATTTTCAAATTTTGTTCCTATGCTGCCATCTTGTGGTTATTTAATTTACTCGCTTCAAATGATCTCTTAAAGCAGTTTATTTTTAAAAGCTGCTCAGAAACCCTGTACAGGGTTGCTATGAGTTGGAATTGACTTAAAGGCACCTAACAACAATGTTGTTGTTGTTATGTGCCGTGGAGTCGGTTCCAACTCATAGCAACCCTGTACAGGGTTTCTGAGGTTGTAAATCTTTACAGGAGCAAAAAGTCTCATCTTTCTCCTGCGGAACAGCTGGTAGTTTCGAACTGCTGACCTTTCGGTTCGCAGCCAGATTCGTAACCACTACGCTACCAGAGCTCCAGCTAACAACAACAATAACAGTAACTAATTAACTTACATACTTTAAAATTAGCCACTGACATTAACTGGATTATAAAACAAATGATCTTTTCAATGTTGGAAGTTCAGTGCTGAAGAAACTGACATTTATGTGTGCATGTGTATTTAAACCCTATCCAGGACTCCTGCTGTGGCGCTGTAGGATCAGCACTGGACTGTGAATCACATGGCCGGTGGTTCAAACCCATCAGCTGCTTCTCGGAAACCCTGCACAGGGTCACTAGGAGTTGGAACCTATTCAGCGGCACTTCGTACCAACAAGAGGGTCACTACGAGTCTGAACCAACCTGATAGCACACAGCAACAACATTTGCTATGTTAACAGCAAGGTGGAAAAGGGGCAAGAATTATTAGTCCAACATTTTCAAGTGGAAAAATCAAAAGTTTCTGTAACTTGCTAATGGTCTCTGCTCCTTTGACTTCCTGGTGCCAAGGGCAATACCCACTGTGGCCATTCTGCACTGCTAACTACTTGACTCTCAGAACGACTCCCAAACACAGCACATGTAAAATGTAGCCTGCAAGAATCACACTTGATGCTTCTCTTTATTACTGAGATGGGAATATGTGCTTTCAGAGAAAAGCTGTTTATGAAAATGAAGGAATTACTTCATTTTTATAGTTTATTGTTCTAAAAATGATGGAATTACATTTTTGTAAAAAGGATTAAGAACTACTTATTAGCCCTTAGGTTTAAGTTCACTTTTGTTGTTTAATGCCTGGTAAGACGAATTTGAAGGACCCTGGCAACATAGTAGGTTATGCGTTGGGCTGTTGACTGTAAGGTCAGCAGTTCAAATCCACCAGCCACTCCATGGGAGAAAGATTTTCTGTTCCTGTAAAGTTTTACAGCCTTGGAAGCCCTCTATTGGGTTGCTATGAGTAGGAACTGACTTGATGGCATATAACCACCACCACCACCACAGCAAAACTGGTGGCACAGTTGCCACGATGCTTGGCTGCCAAGTTGGTGGTCTGAACCCACAAGCTGCTTCTCCAGAGAAAGATGCAACAGTCAGCTCTGTAAAGATTTACAACCTTGGAAACTCTATGAGGCAGTATTACTCTGTCCTAGCGTACTGGTTACGAATCGGGCTGCGAGCCGCAAGGTCAGCAGTTCGAAACTACCAGCGGTTCCGCAGGAGAAAGATGAGGCTTTCTGCTCCTGTAAAGATTTATAGCCTCGGAAACCCTGTAGAGGGTCTCTATGAGTTAGAACCGGCTCCACGGCACACAGACACCACATAGGATTACTAGGAGGTGGAATCAATTTGACAAAGGTGGAGTTTGGATTATTAAGACAAATGTAATGAGCTTTAGTTCAGGGCACAGAGCACTGTTAGTTGCTGCTGAGTTGATTCTGTGTTACAGAGTGAAGCTGCTCCAGGGAGTTTTCTAGGCTGTAATCTTAGGGAAGCAGATCACCAGGCCTGTTTAAGTGCAAATCCTTTGCACCACATGTGCCCAGACTATATTTTGAATAATTATACTTTGATAAGAATTGTAAACAGATAAAAATTTGGGGGTACTTACCGAGTCCTGGTATGGCATGTAGGATAAACACTTGACTGCAAGGTAGGTTTGAACTGCAAGGTAGGTTTGAACCGCAAAGCTGGAGGTTCAAACTCATCAGCCATGCTTCATAAACCCTATACAGGGTCACTATGAGTCGGCACCGACTCAGAGACACTTAACTACAACAACGAAGCATCTTTATATGAACTATTGTTATTGTTGTTGTTATGTGCCATGGAGTTGGTTCTGACTCATAGCGACCTGTAAACCTTTACGGGAGCAGAAAACTTCATCTTTGTCCCACGGAACAGCTGGTAGTTTTGAACTCCTGTTAGCAGCCTGATTCGTAACCACTACACTACCAGAGCTCCTTGTACGAACTATGAAAACCATTAAATACAATCTCTGAAGCAACAATAAAATTGTAACTTCTCAACAGCTAAAATAAAGACAAAATGTTGTTCCTTTATAATTAACCACAGAAACATATATATATTACAAATTTGCGAATTGTTTGTTTCATGTCACTGGATATCAAGTTCAAGAAAGCATATAAAAAAGGTTTCAATTAAAAACAAAAACGAAAACTTCAGGGCATAGTTTCTTAACTCTGTTCTTCTGGAATTCTGTTTTAAATGGATTTTTTTTTCATTTTAAAATGATACAAGTGATCATTACAGGAAAAACTGAAAAATATAAGTGAGCAGAAATAAAAATAAAATTGACCTGTTCTTCTGTTCTCCATAGCTAATTAGTGGTGATATCTGGTATACTCCTCAATGTTTCAATAAATATACTATGTCTTGATAATACAAACAAGATATTTCACAATTTGTTTCATAATTTTCCTTTTCTTAACAATTTATTATAAGCTTCTTTCTATATAAAAATTTGAAATGCAACTAGACCATTATTGAAGTAACAGCATGTTACTGTATTGTACTCATTTATTCATATATGTAAGTATTAGCATACAAAATTAAATAAACTTACATACTAAATTATCTTAAACTCTTAATACATATATACTCACAGCCTTTAGTTCCATGTTACCACCCATATGAAATTCAATGGTTTTGCCCATAATGAATACGCCTTCATTTCCACGGACTATAGCACGTCCATCAACTTTTATATTTAAATCACTAGTAGCATTACTTGTAATCTGAAATATTAAAAAAAAAAAAAAGTGCTGAAAATGTGTTTATAGTAACACGAGAATTATTATCAGAGATAAAGAAATGAGTTTCAACAATGAGTTATGAGAGGCAAGTGTTTCTTGTTTACATTTTATATAAGGGGGTTTCTAAAAGTTTATGGAAAAATAGAATGGAAAGACAATGGAATTTTTCCATGAACTTTTTGAAGCCCCATCAGAAATGTGGAAATGGAAACAGGCAGATGGTTTGGTAACGTTCACATAACCTAGACAGAGCTAGAACTAATCTTTTCCATTGGTCCAATATACGACTTCAGACAATTCTCTAACAATATTCTCAAAAAAGTCATAAAAACAGATCATACCCTTTCAGTAGATGCTTTTTGAACATTCAGACTTTTCACTCCACTTGGCAAATGAAATTCATGCGTTTCATAGTCTGTGCTGAATAAAATATTTTGAGTCCTTGGGTCGAAGAACTGCATACCAATGTCACTAGTAATGGAAGTTTTGTTCTTTTCTACACTGAGCTTCGTTGTCCCTTGCTGAAAAACAATCTTCAGAGAAACACTTCATCATGAATATGATTTAAAAAAAAAAACTGCAACAAAAACTTATGAAGAACATTATAAACATTCTACAACAATTGCTGTTGTTGTTGTTATGTGCCGTGGAGTCGGTTCCGACTCATAGCGACCCTGCACAGGGTTTCCGAGGCTGTTAATCTTTACGGGAGCAGAACGCCTCATCTTTCTCCTGCGGAACCGCTGGTAGTTTCGAACTGCTGACCTTATGGTTCGCAGCCCGATTCGTAACCACTACAAATAGGCAAATTCAAATGCAGTCCTGAGCCACCACATAATGTCTGTTTTGGTAAGGTCCAACCATATAAACACCCCTGTTCCTAAATGCCTATGTTGTTGTTAAGTGCCATCGAGTCAATTCTGACCCATAGCAACCCTGTATAGGGTTTCCAAGGAACAACTGGTGAGCCTGAACTGCCAACCTTGTGATTCAAACGACTTTGAGGTCTGGCGCATTAACCCACAGCGCCACATTATAAAGCCTATTCAATTAAAAATTTTAAGTACATACAGTGGTTCAAAATAACAAATGGGTGCGACTTGGTGACATGAATCATCAGACATTACTATTAAGTTTTATTATGTTAAAGATGTTTTAGTATATCTAGAAGTATTTCTTTAATGTTTTTATGCATAGAAAGGTATACAATACACTCATATACTAAGACAAACATTTGACTGACGTTTGTTAAGCACCTAACTACTCCAGTTTAAGTACACATTTGATTTAAAGAAAGACTTAAGAATGTAAAGTTCATTCGTTATCCAGGAACTATCTGTATATAATATGGTGGTCAGATAATATCCAAATCATTTAACAGCCTATTTCCTAGAATGTATGGTGGACACTAAGTCACACATGACTGTCCTTTTAAAAGGATGGGTCCTCTCTCCATTCTCTAGGGATAAGAGTTTCTTAAAAAGGAGGCTTAAATAGTAATTTGAAGCCCTGGTGTGGCACTGTAGAATAAGCACTAGATCACAAGGTCAGTGTGAATCACAAGGTTGGCAGTTCCAACTCACTAGCCACTTCTCAGAAACCCTGTACACAGTCACTATGAGTAGGAACTGACTGGACAGCACTTACCAACAACAACATATAGTTATTTGTTTATATTGCTCTGCAGAAGTACCTGGGTCATAGGACATATGCCCAAGGTCTAAAATGAGCAGCAAATAATAATACGTCCTTGAGCTTCTATTTAGGAGAAACCTATGTTATAGCGGACACTTGAGCATGGCCTGCCACTGACTGCACTGGCCTACTGTCTACAAGTCTTTCAGAAAGCACAGGATATTCTGCTTCGGATGGGATGGTATGCAGTGGGCTGCTAACTAAAAGGTCAGCAAACGTACCACCGCTCTGTGGGAGACAAGGGAGAATTGGCTTCCTCCTCGGAAACCCTATGGAATAGCTCTGCTCCAGTGAGTTTTCAGTGGGTAGTTGTTGTTGTTGTTGTTATGGAGTCGGTTCCGACTCATAGCGACCCTGTACACTCATGGGGTGGCCACGAGTGGGAGTCGACTGGAGGCAAATGAGTTTTAGAAGAAAAGTGGGAATAGTAAATGGTGTGTTTTTACACAAATTACACTTGTCGTAGAAAATGCTATTGGGAGCAAAATCCAGACAATTAAGAGAGAATCTAATTTAAGTAGATGATTAGCCCAATTATACTATCAAATGTATTTATGAATTTTCTTTAAAGGAAAATATCCATTTCCTAAAACCAACTCTGTATTTCTAAATATTTCCAAATTAAACTAACTCAGAAGAGTTAGTTTTTAGAATTCTCTTACGGATAAAAATAAATACCTTGATCTGACAGAGAATTTTCCTCTCATATGTCTCTCCCATTTAGATTCTATTTTACAGACTGTGGGAACTTACAGGCTGATTGTTACCAGTGATGATCAAATTTTCATTTCGTCTTCCTCCTACTGTGCTCTTATAAAGAGGATGTATGATTCCCATGTCAGACACTTGCTTGAATCGGAGCAGACCACTTTCATGGAACTCCATACTGTCACAGCCATTGGGCCCAATGCGAATCACGGCCCAGATAACAAGTGTGATCTAAAACAGAACGAAAGCCCACCATGAAGAGGTAGCATCAATCAGAAGGACTAAAGATGTCCTACAATGCTTCATCATCACCGTGGACATACTGATTGGGTTTCTACGTATAAACACGCCCATTTTTATTGTTATCAAAGTATTACATGCAAACAGCTAAAAGCCAAAACAGAAGTCCCTTATTTCTTTTATCCCCTCACATTTCAACAACTGTTATGACCATGTAAGTATTGCCCACTGTTAAACCAAATATTTTTCTACGATTACAGTTCCTTTCTTGTTTCATAGAGTTTAATATTTTTCTTTTGATTGTTTTTTCATTGCTTAGTTTCTTGAAAAATCTGACTAGATCTTTTCAGACCCTCCAACTTTTCTGTAAAGCATTTTACCAAGCAAACCCTCACAAGTAATATCTTAATTCTGTATTTCTCCCTCCGGAAATCTTTCTGGAACCCTTAACTCCCTGCTCCAATCTAAACTGGTTACGCTCTGATCTTCAACCCAGCAGCAATCATGGGTGTTCCCTTCACTTTCAGTTGGAACTTCCTTTTGTCTCTGTCCTGTGCTAGAGACCCAGTGTCCTCGATCCTTGTCTTCAACTTTCTTGGTTTAGTGTCTTCTTAGGGTAGATAGAACTCAGGGAAAAGTAGGTTTATTTTCATAGTGTGCGTGAGTAAAACAGTCTTTATAATTTTTCACATTTAATTGATAGTTTGGCTTGCTATCTGCATTTCTAGATTTCTTGAAAGAGTTTTTCTTTATCTGTTCGTCTTCCTTCTCTCTTTCTCTCTCTCTACACACACACACAATGTACAAATCCTCATAACTGGGCCAATAAATAACATCAAGATAAATGGAGGAAAGACTGAAGTTTTGCTTGTATCCACAATTAACTCATTGTGGATTTTGCTTGGATCAAAGACGTCATTTTGCTTGGATCCACTATTAACTCATGGAAGTGGCAATCAAGAAATCAAGACACGTATTTCATTAGGTAAATCAGCACAAGACCTCTTTAAAATGTTAAAGAGCAAAGATATTAGTTTGAGGACTAGGGTGCGCCTGACCCAAGCCATGGTATTTTCAATAGCCTCATATGCATGTGAAAGTTTGACAATGAATAAGGAAGACCATAGAAGACTTGATGCATTATTATTATAGTGTTGGAGAAGATTATTGAAAGTGTCATGGACTGCCAGGAACACTACTCCATAGAAGCCAGAATGACAAGACTTTGTCTCTCATATCTCAGACACGTTATTAGGAGGGATCAATACCAGAAAGAGGATATCATGCTCGGTAAAACGGAGAGTCGGTGAAAAAGAGGAAGACCCCAAAGAAATGGATTGGCACAGTGCTAGGAGCAATGGATTTAAGCTAACAACGATTGTGGGGATGGTGCAGGACCAGGCAGTGTTTCATTCTATTGTACATAGTGTTGCTATGAATTGGAGCTAACTGGAGGGCACCTGACAACAACAATGTATGAATGCATGCATATTGTGTTGTTACTAGGTGCCACTCAGTTGGTCCCAACTCACAGCCACCCTATGCACAACAGAATGAATTCTACTTGGCCCTGTACGATCCTCACAATCATCATGCTTGAGTCCATTGTTAAGCCACTGTGTCAATCCTTCTCATTGGGAGTCTTCCTCTTTCAATGATCCTCTATCAAATATAATATTCTTTTCCAGGAACTGGTCCCTCCTGATAACATGTCCAAAGTACATGAGAAGAAGTCTCAGCATCCTCACTTCTAAGGAACATTCTGGCTGTACTTCTTCCAAGACAGATTTGTTTGTTCTTCTGGTAATCCATGGTACTTTCAATATTTTTCATGAACAACACAATTCAAATGCATCAATTCTTCTCTTCCTTATTCATTGCCCAATTTTCACATGCGTATTGTTGTTGCTGTTAAGTGCCATCCAGTTGGTTCAGACTTACAGTGATCCTGTATAAGGTTTCCAAGGAGTGGTTGGTGGTTATCCTACAATACCACACCAGGATTGAAAATACCATGGCCTAGGTCAGGCTCACTTTAGTGCTCAGAGTGACATCTTTGTTCTTTAACAAACTTATCTGTCCAATGCAATGTGATTTTCTGGCTGCTGCTTTCATGAGCATTGATTATGGATCCAAATAAAACAAAATCCTTGACGATTCAAACTTTTCTGTATCATGATGCTGTTCATTGGTCAGTTGTCAGGATTTCTGTTTTCTTTACCTGCTGTTGTAATCTATAGTGAAGGCTGTATTGCTTGATCTTCCTCCAAGTCCTCTTCACTTTCATCAAAGTTTTGTCATTTGCATATTGCAGGTGTTAATGAATCTTTCTCTCATCCTGAGGCTGTGTTCTTTTTCACATAGTATAGCTCTTGAATTCTATATTCATCATACAAAACTGTGGCGCACACCTTTCCTGATTTTGAACCGTTCAGTATCCCCTTGTTTGGTCTATGTACAGGTTCCATTAAGCACAATTAATTCCCATTCTTTGCAATGCTATCCATAGTTTGTTTTGATCTACAGTCAAATGTCTTTGCATAGTCAATAAAACACAAGTAAACCTCTTTCTGGTATTCTCTGCATTCAATCAAAATTCATCTGGTGTTAGCAATGATATCCATAGTTACACGTCCTCTTTTGAATCTGGTTTAAATTTCTGACAGCTCCCTGTCTATGTACTTGCTACAAGTGTTTTTGAATTATTTTCAACAAAATTTTATTTGCATGTGACATTACTGATACTGTTTGATACTTTCCACATTCTGTTAGGTTGCCTTTCTTTGGAATGGGCAAAAATGTGGATCTATTCTAGATGCTTGGTCAGATAGCTATCTTCCAAATTTCTTGGCATAGACTAGTAAGTGCTTCCAGTTTGTTGAAACATTTCTATTGGTAGTCCATCAATTCATGGAACCTTGTTTTTCACTAATGACTTCAGTACAGATTGAACTTCTTCCTTCAGTACCATGGTTGGGTTAAAAGTTAACCAATTATTTTTGGTACAATGATTATATATTCCTTCTATCTTCTTCTTCTTCTTCTTTTTTTTTTTTTCCATGATTATGGGGTTTACTAGAGAAGCTAACAGGATCAGAAATGTTCATGATACAATCCTTTGTTCAGAACAATCTCTTCTCTACCATTCCCACAGACAGGCCTCTTTCTGATTCTTGGCTCTTTGGTCTGACCTCTGTCCTGCTCACGCAATGTTACAAAGGGCTTTTAGTACTGCAGCTACAGGCTCAAAGAGCACTACACTCTGCCACGAGCTTTAGTCTGATGATGTTTGGCTCTAGCTCCATGGATCAGTAAACCTAGCCTCCCCAATCTGGTGTCTAATGGTACCCTACTCTATATGCGAGCCTCTTGCCTACAAGATCTTTACTTGTTCCATGGGACTGGAAGCCCACCTCACACTTTCATCTTCTTGTGATGCTTTCTCCATTGTTCATTTTGCCCAAGGAATCCTTCAATATTGCAATCGAAAGCTTAGATTTTTTTCTTTAG